GTTGTCAAGTGGTGGCCTGGTTCAATGTCAGACAGTACCAGTACCTGTCAGCTTTCCAGATGATCTAGAGGTACTGATGGTCAGCTGTGGATCTGGGGGAAAGAATGGGCTTGGCTGATAGAATGGCAGAGGAGGGTTTTAACACAAGTTGTACATCAGGCATTGGAGCTCAGAGATTACTCTGGCTATTAGGCAGAATATTCCAACCAAATTTCAATTGCTTTAGCCATTTTTTCATTCAGGAGTGAGGAATATCCTTGAAAATTTTTGCAGTTCTCTGTCTAATGTAATTCTCTATGAAAATCCAGGGTTTTGGAGTGGTAAGGATAGGAAGTACTGGAAGAGAAAGGAAACAATGTGAAAATTCTTACATCATTTAAAAAATGGCTGTGTTCTGTAACATAGAGGGGGGGAGACAGGAGTTGAAGGTGAAAGGGGAGGGAGGAGTAGGAGGGTATCACCATCTCCAACTGATATGCAAATAGCCATAGGTACCTATTAGAATTTGTTGATCAAATACAGGATAAAGTAAATCATGACCTAATAAAATCCAGTTGGAGAGCTGACATGTAGATGGTTTCTTGACAGTTTTTCCTGTTTTACATTTGTTGATTAGTCCTCACTGCAGCCCCTAACTTACCAGTGTGGTTCAGTGCTGTTACTCAACTTTCATTTTATTTTGGGTTGAAATGTGGGAACATTTGGGGAAGTCACTCTTTTGTTAATTGTTGTTTCAATGATGGTGACAATTAACACTGTCGAGGGATAAATTTTTATCAAGACGAGGAGTATTTATGAACAATTTATGTGTTGATTATTTTATCCAGTGGATAAGACATCCGCCTTAAAAATAACCAGGACTGACTTGCATAACTTTTTAGTACTAACATTTTAAAGAGAAGCTTAGTGGTCTGTAAGAGATAAAAAAAGTGGATAACTAACCCATTTACCTCACTGTCAATTAGTTAGTGTGACTAATCTTGGTTTAATTTTTTTGCTTACAGGAGATGGGAGTGTCTGGACATGGGTTGGGGTAAGTTTGTATGAATTTTTCTGTTGATGTGAAATTATTTTTAACTAGCATGTGACATATTTGTTAAAAAAGCACTATTTTCTTACTGTCTGAATAGATATTGTGTTCAACTTAAATATGCTCAGGAAATGCAGAAAAAAATGAAACATGGCTCATATTAATGTAGTTCTCTGTTAAAGTAGCTTTGGTTCATGACAGTTTTGAATGCCCTGTAAGACTTCTTGGAGGGAAAACCCTAACTTAAGCCAATATGAAGTCAAAACCAGTGGCCATCCTTTACCTTCAAATTTCCTCTCAGGAAAAATGGGAAGAATTTTTTCCTACCCTTGCTTCTGTTATGCTTTCTTAACAGTGAATAGTCATTTCATGGACACAACTCATTGTATTTTGAAAATGACATCAATGAAATCCATTTTTTATGCGTCTATCAAGCCACCAAAGGATAGGTAGTTTGAATTACCCACTTTGAAATTCGAATTTCCCTTGTATTTAAAAGGAACTCGATCCTTAAACGAAATAACATGGTAATTTAGTGTTATCAACTGAGTTGAAAACGTAAATTGGCCTCCGTAAAGAGTTTGAAGGCTGATGTTTCGAGCTTTAGCCCTATGGCCAATCGCTCTGACGTAGGCCAATTTATGTTTTCAACGTAGTTGATAACACTAAATTACCCTGTTATATTCTCCTACCGATGCAGCACCACAGTTTCTGTAGAAACTTACCTCCTTTATCCTTAAATGAAATACTTGCAGTGATTTATAAATGTCCTCAGTCCTAAAAGATAATTCATGTGTAGAAACAGGGAGAGTAGACCTTTTGATTGATTTCGATCAACATTTTGCGCAAGATTTTTTATATCGTTACTTGAACGTTTCCATCAACTCCTGATGGCTCTTACCTCAAACGACTGATTCAACTGTCATCGACACGTAACCGTAGTAGAGACGTAAATTTGTCATGTTCCAGGCTACTATGGCCAACTCGGACACGGAGACCGAGTGGACAGGTCTGCGCCGCCAAGTAGCAGCCTTATTGTCATTGAAGCTCAAACCTAAAACGCTTTATTAAGTGTTAATTAGTGGACAGCGGTATTTCTCTCAAGGGACCGCACATAAGCGCGAGCGCAGTTT